TCCTGCTATGAATAAAGAGCTATCAGCTTGGTCTATCAGAAGTCACCTAGCATTTTTAAATGGGAGTTTTTAGTGCAGGTAGTGCCTTTATTCTATACTGTCAGGTACAAACCACAATTCTGAAAAGAGTAAAGAAAATAATTATCCTCCCCCATTCATTTTTTCCCAGTTCTCAACATAAAGAAGCTGCAATGACTGATAGTGGAAATTGCCACAGTTCCTCAGGAGCTTTTCCACTAGGAAAGCTTCCGATCACTTGGGCTGACTACCAAGACCAGGTGCAGAATTCTGATCCCTGAGCTACCATACGAGATGGCACAATTCCCTCTGGAAGCAAGGCCGGGCCTAAATGCATGCAAATCCCAGGGTCTGAAGACTTATGGAAGACAACAGACTCTAAGACAAAACAGAAATCTCTGCACTGAATCCTTTCTTAACTGGCATGTGAATATCTCATGAATCAAGCAGTGTTATAATTCATTAATATTACAAATAAGCATTCTAATATACTTTCTGTGTAATCTGGGAAATCGTACATACAATTTATAAGTTTTGGTTCATGTTCTGGAATGATAAAATTGCTAAGGTTTGTATACCACTGTAAATATGTATTTACCTTTGTTGACCAGGACCGTATGACATTTTTCCCTGGAAAGGTATTTAGGGAAACCAGCAAATTTAATGACTGGACTCTGGCTATACAACAGGAATACTAAAAAAAGCAAACTAAAAGTATAACCTTGCCTCATTTGTAGCGAAGATAGGGAAAAGAGGATAGAGCGTAAAAAGATAAAAATTTCAGGTTAAACAGGGAAAGATGCTGGTAGGACTTTCAATGGATTCTAAGAAACATACTGAAGGATTTAGCCAGGAGAAAACAAAAGATGAGCATGTTTAGCCAAAGACTCTGTAGTTCAATGACAAACCAGAAAGACACAGGACCATGTTCCACACACAACCCAGAGGAATTAAAACACCTGAAGTGGGAAAAACTTTCAGGGTGTGTTATTTTAACATAGATAATACATTTATTATCTCATACTGTTACAGTAAAGGACAAAAGTGGCTTCAGAATCCCTATGAGTGTTTTTGGGCATGCTCTCATACCTATCATGGTCTCCCTCACAAAAAATCTCAAGAAAAATGCCCAGGATTCTGGAAAATTGTTTTTAACCTGAAGTGAGATCTTGAGATAGGTGCTCAGTTGCATTAGGCAGCTGAACAGTGGATTCAAGCACAAGGGTGAGTGCGCTAAAATATGAAACCTTCTTTCAGGTATGTTCCTGAAACCCCAGCCTTGGGGCAGTAACCAGCTTCTGTTTAGTTTCCACAGATAAAAAGCACACTGGATCCAAGGAGTGCAGCCCAAAACTTCAGTATGGTAAGTAATCAACTGGAGAGGGTAACCAGATCTCTAACAAATACTACTAAGATTCTCATTTTAAACTGTTCATGTTTCCAGTTCAAATCATATCAGGACAAAAGATTCTTTTGAAAAATGTTAAACTCAAATTCCTTTTGATGAAATACAAAACTAGTATAGTGGTAAGCCACAGTGGGGATTTTTCAGTGACAGCAAAGGATCTTTCTCATCACCTGAATCTATTCTTTTCTATTTAGAAGAATATTCTGATGTCACAGCTCAACTCCAAACCTGCATTAAGAGTATATATAGGAAGCACTACTAAGCAGTCAAGAATTAAGAAACAGTAAACTTAAGGATGCCCACACATCTCCATGAATGCACATCTACCAGTTTACACACCAATTTTATTGGCACATGCTGCATTCAAATAACAACAAACCTGCTATTTCTTCTACAGCCAGAGGTACTCAGGAGTTTACTAAAATTAGCCTCATTATAATCTGAGGAGTTTTGTTTAACTTTTAATGCAAGTTTTCTGCTCCCTAAAATATTTATTTTAATAATTTTGACAAATAATTCAGATTTTTTTTAAACCTGTCACACAGAGTTTTTATTATCTGGGGGCAGAGTCTTATAAATCAGTGCATGCTGACCTGGACAGGGGCACAGACCCAGAACCTCTGGTCTCTCCTCAGTTAGCGGGGTAAGAAGATCCTTCAGGTCAGAAGCCCCTCAAGTTGTGCTACTGCAGCCCTGTGTCTCAGCTGCTATGTGCTGGCTCTCAGATGAACTTGGTTGAATCTATCTTTGTAGATGTGAGCTAAAAAAAATTCTCTCAAACTTATGAATGTAGACACAGTTGGGATTTTTCTTGTGTCAACTTGTGACCAATCTAAAACTTAACACAATCTTAAAAAAATCTGCATTAAAGACTTTTACATTCTTGGGTACTAACAGTTTATTTTCTCTCCTCCTAGGTCAATCAGTAACAACAATAAAAAAGACTATTAATAATTTATATTATTTTAAAATGTTGCTTGCCCCAGGTAAGTGGAAATTTGCAGAATAAATATTAACCTGGCTTTAAATTGAAGTTGAAAGAATGAGCTTTTCAAATATCTGCACTCAAACGATCTGTGAATACAGAGAAGTGATTAAAGAAAATCTTGTTAACTTCAGCCAGACCAAAGACTTAAGTCAATATTGAGATCTTTTAACCATTTCATAAGTCTCCTGTAGATAGATATGCATAATCAGTCCCATAACATAAACCAATTTTTTTTCTACAGAGAACAGCATTTATTGTCACTGCACTTTCAGACACACTTCAATGTGGACATAGCTAGTTGCTAAATCCACTAGCAAATTGAATAATTTCAGTATTTCCTTTGTAAATTGACTGCAGAAGCATATTATTGGTTTAAATGGTCAATCCTTAAATGTGAAGCTTTTAGTTTCTACTTTTGTTTTTTTGCAGAATAAACGTTTCCTAAAAAAAAAAAAAGTAACATGATTACAAACAGGAGCCAATGACTACCTGAACCAATGTCAAGTTCAGAGAAGACAAAGAACTCACCTGTTTAGTATAGATCTTACAGTTTCTCCCCAAATAAATGAAGATGATTTTTTTTCCCTCAAGTAAGGATTTGAACAAATTCTATATTCAATTCATACCAAGGCTAACATGTTGCTCACATAACACATAGCAAGTCACATAAAGATATGCAGCAAGTGTTTAATCTTCAGTGGAAAGTCTAGTGGTTAACCATGCAAACAAATTATTTAACATTTTCCTCAGGAATCATTGCATTTCCATGTCCAGAGTGGTTAACATTTGCGTGTCGTTTCAGTAACACATACTTATGGTCAGGACATCCAGTGTCTGTATCCCCTAAAGCAAAAATGGGGAGGTTAATGTTCTGAGGCACTTGATTCAACCAGAGTAATAGATTTTCCTTCCCCTGTAGATGATCTAACTGAGGTAATTTAGACAACCAGAGCTGGAAAACTTACGCTTAGCTAAATGAATCATGAGTCTACAAAATGCTTAAATTCAGAAAAAGACTGAGGGTAGCAACATGCAAATTGACAAAACTGTTGAAGAAATGCAATTGCAGGAAAAATAAAAATAACATGGGATGTCTGTAAAGAGGTATCACGCATAGGAACAGAAGTAATTTTTCCTCTGCCTATGAGGCCAGCAATGGTATTTCCAGTGTCTTACTGGAAGACCACTGAATAGCTCACAGTCTTTCCCATTAGGAAGATATAGAGAAAGAAAAACTTGTGTAAGACAGGAAAGATCACAAATGCACACGTAAAAGCTGAAAAAAGCCAATAGGATAGCAATAATAACAGAAGGTGAAAATACAACCTGTTTGCAGCAAATTAGGATGGCATATCTAGGCACAAATGACATGCACCAACTTAAATACTCATCAGAAAAAAAACTTCTCAATGGAAAGATGAACTACCTTGTCAAATAATCCATCTTTGGACTTAAAAGTCATTGATGCTTTGAAATATTACGTCGGTGTAGTGTTTCTTTAAAAACTGAATGTTGTAATCCCTTACATGGGCAGAAAACACTTTTTGCAACTTCCCTTATGCTTAATATAAAAAGCAAGAACAAAAGATGTATCAAAGATAATTTACTTCTGTGTCTCCAGAGGCAGACCAAAAGTAACTGAAGGGCTGAAGTGTAAGACAAGTTTATTTATTGCTCTGATAAAACTGGTAGCAGCACACAGCTTGCAATTGCCTTTGCACAACTCTCCTGCTACAATCACTATTTCAGCAACTGTGGGTTAGTGGATAGACTACTTAATCCAAGAAGTCTTCTCTCTGTCCGTGGAACTTCTCTGAAGCCGTAAACAGGGTGGTCCACGTTGCCCAAGAACTGCATGACAGGATCTTCTCTTACGACACTATTTCTAATAATACTGCATACTTCAGCAAAATCCTTCTCTTAAATTTACATGATAAATTATGATTGGGACAGTCTACTCTTCCTATTGCTATGAATGTAAACTAAGTTTGCAGTGCACCAAAAATCAAATTGACAGTTATCAGAACTTGAGAGAATAGCTCCCCTCTTTGAATTTTTTTTTTCCAAAAGTTAGTACCAAAGAATCTTCAGTTGAGTATTTGTTCCTCATCTAGCCATTTTGTTTTGTTGACCTTTTCTAAAACACAAATGGATCTATAAAGTACCACAATATATGACAAATTGGAAAATGGCATCATACAATTAAAAAAAAAAAATCTAAAGGAAGTAAAATTTAGCGTGATTTATACTTAAAGCAGAGGCTACTACAAAGATGTTCTATAGTGGCATATACATTTCAATGTAATCTGTAGATTTCCTCAAGAAAGTATGCACACCATCATTAATCTCACAGGAAGAATTTGGCAATGTATTATTTACAAGCAACACAAAGCTCTCTTATTTAACTTACGAAAATGCTAATGCTGCAATTTCCAAGGAGATTCACATAACACCCCCCCCAAATCCCACTGAAATATGAGCATCCAGTTCAAATTAAGTTTTTGAACATCTCTCACTATGAATTCCCCAAATCCCAAAATGCACTATAATTTTTTCTGCCAAGATAGGTTTTCATTATTGTATCACCTTTCTCATAGAGCTCCTCCATTGCTGTCCAGGTTTCAGCTCGCACCTCTCGATTACTTTTACCCGGAACTTGTGCATCAGGCCAGTGTATCAAATAAAGATCTAAAAGAAACAGAACCAGACTACTCATTAAAGCGTCCAGAAAATATATACATCAAACCATGTGAAACAGCATTTTCCCTCCATAATGGCCCCTAACATATTAACATAAAAATAGTTATAATTACTACTTCATGATCATTACTGTGTACTTCCATTTAGTTTTAATAAACAAAATCTACAACATTTCATTAACAACTAAAGGTAGCAGAAGTTGCACATGTGCCACAGGTTTAGGTCACTGCAATCAGAATTTCATGGTCACATATGCACTTAATAAACTTTCAACGCATAACAAGCCCCATTTAAATCAAAGGGATTTTGGTCACTGGAATTAAGACTGGACTACTGCTGAAGTGCTACAAGTCTTCAAGTTTACGGAAGATAAGTATGTTTGGCAGTTCTATAGATATTTTATACAACCTCAGCAGTGGGTCTGTTTTCTTCCCTTCTAAAGAATACTTCCATTTATGAGTTTCTGTTGGAAATTACAGCACATTCTTTCATGCAGTTTTTTTGCCATAATTTTGTGGCAGCATTTGTGATTTTTTTTTAAAGCATTTTTTTAATATTATTTTAAGGGAACAAAATTATGCTTTACTATATTGAAAATGTAGTAAATTTCAAACACAATTAAGATTTACTGCTGATGAAATTATCCAAGCAGCTACTGAAACTGGCTCAGGGAAGTATTTTTTTTGTGTTGTCTCCATGCAAGAAAAGACTATCCTTCTACTGAAAAAGGAAGGATTCCAACATAAATTAAAAATGAGAAATTTACATGTATTGGACTCAGAGTTCCAAATCAGATTATCTAAATTTCAAAAGCGATAGGATCTATAACTCCTTTGTAAGTTTGTAGACACTACTACATTCTGAAGGAGAAACTTAGGAGATACTTTGAAAACAATTACATTTCTACTTAAATCCTAACTGCAGATTAAACAAGTCTGCAGGCATCCCAGTTAAAGAGGTGTTGGTCTTTGCCGCATACGTTAGTCTCACACAAAACAGGAAAAGGAAATAAATGCATGACTGAGATGTGCATCATTGTCTTTGTGCTTTATAATATTCCTTTTTTGGCAGTTCAAATATAGAATTAAGAAATAAAAAACTAGACTCGTTTGCAATGAGCAGAGTTTTTTGTTCTGAATGCATCACACCCTTCATTTACAGCACCTCTGTGAAAACACAGATCCTCTGCCATACTTTTTTTATTCACATTTAATGACTGCACTAATGATTACTATGCCACTGGGCTGGTATATTAGCTTTCCACCGCTAGAAATACAAATTCAACCTTGATTTAAGAGGAAAAGGTAACATGAAATTCAATATAATACACCGGTTCCCATTTGGGCACATCATTGCAACGCTGTTAAAGACAGTATTTTGCTTACACTAAGAATCTAATTAGAACAGTACAGAATTTTGTACAGTAAGATACATTACAGATGTATCGAGGAAAAAATCATTTTGGGAGTATTACAAAAATAATGAGCTAAATTTGCACTTTCTGGTATCAATAACCCATTAGACATTTAAACGCAATTGCTCAGACAAGCAAATATCACTTACATATAATGATTTTCAGCATCTGGATTTAGGTCACATTTAAAGAGAAAGTTGCTTGTTCTTTGCCCTTATATATATAAAATCCACTCCCAATTTAGAAAAGAGTGAAAAAACCCACATGCAGTCTTGTTCATCACTAATCTGTGAATAATTACTACTTCTCTAATTGCTCTGAAGAAAGAAGTTGTATTTATTAAGAATAAATACCAATATATGGTACTGGAATAAATACTAATTTCTGTGACATTTAAGTGAAAACTAATATTGGGATATTGATTAAAGCATTTGGTAAGGTTATGTTCAAAACTCAGGAAAACTCTAATTCTGTTGCCAATAAAAGTCTCTTTTAAAATTTCCACTGACTTATATTAGACGCAATCCCAAGGATTAGCATTAGGAATTGCTAATATCAAGTGTTCACTTTGAGCCAAAATTATACATGCCATTGGCAGTACTTACTGCATAGAGACTGTCATGTTTTAACCTAAATTTTTGTGCTTGGATAAAGCAAATGTCATATATAAGTAGGTGTAAGTTACTGGTATCTGATGCCTACCTCATGTAAAAATGGAAGAATTACATATCTTTAATTGCTGCTTGTTATGTTCTCCAAATCAGACTAATAAGAACTGCCTAACTATGCAGAAACATGTTGTATAGCACCAACAAAAAATAATCATTAACTTCAGCAGAATTTCACCAAAAGCTACTTTTCCAAAAGTCTGAATATTCAGTTAGACATCGCAGTTTGCAGATGTTCACACAAATAGCTACACCATGGATTTCCACATACAAAGATGCTTTGTACTCAGCCAAGAAACTGAAGCACTCTCAGAAGAATGACTTTTAACAGATTTGATAACTGAAAGATCTCTGGCTTTGGATATTGAAAAAACACAGCACATCACCATTCCCTGTATTAGCATCTGAGACCTCTTCAATGCAAACATGATTAGCTGTTGGTCCTTTGTTTTAGAAAGGTGATGTTATCGGGTCTGTGATGTCCCTATCATCCTATTACGTTTATTTTAATTTAGGCTTTTTGTTGAAATAAAAATTACTTCACAGTTAGAAATGTATGCATTTAGGGCTAGAAAGCATCTACTGGACCACAAAGTGCAGTTCTCCTCACTGCAAGAAGTGTTTGCAAAAGATGTGGGGCAAAGGTACCTTATCTCACAGATAGAGTAGAACAGTCTTTCTGCCAGTCATGCGCAAACCACCCCATCACAGCTAGAAGTGGAAGGAATACAGTGTACCTTGCACTGAGCAATAGAGCAGCCACTCTATTTAAATAAACTAAGCATAGTTCATTTTAAATTAGGATCTGCTTTCTTCTACTGCATCTGTTAGAAAACTTTCCATAATACCTGTAGGCCAATAAAAACAGTAAGTGCCTCACAAACGAAGGTCTACGATTTCATCTTCATTTGTATACATTCACACCTACACCCACACACTTTCTTTTGCTTAAAATATTTCCCCTCCTGGGGGATTACATGAACACAAACACCCTTATTTTCATTTGGAAGCAAGAAATTAGTTTTAAATTATTTATCAAAATAGCTTAAGATTCCAGTAACTAAGAAATGTGTAACTTTATCACTGGAGGTTTTTAAGAACAGACTACGTTTTTACCTGTTGAGAATGATGTGGCTGTGCCTTGTAGTGTGGGATAGATTAATCAACACTTTGAAATGTCTTCCAACCATTTTTTTTTTAAACAATCTTAACTCAAAATAAAAAACCCCAATGATTCACAGCATCAGGATGCACTTGAGAAAGAAGAGAAATACCCAAACATTCACAATCAAATTCTGTATTTACCAGCTTTTTACAGCATCCTTTACAGATAATCAAGCTGTAGTGGTGCAGCGGTAAGTGAGGGCCTGGAGTTCATTCAAATGTCAAAACACAGTGCTGCAGGAAAACTAAAATTAACACGTGAACTGCTTTCACACAGACATTTAAAATAGAGTGGCTTATTACTTCTTAGTTGTTGCGGCACCTATAATCAACACAGTTCCTCTTAACTCAAAAGTACAGGGACATTTTACACATTCAAAAGCCAAAAGCATGTTGTCAGGTAATAAAAGTTTGCAATTCTATTCAAATTCCTAATATTAAAAAAAAAGGTCAAAACTCACTATAACAAACCTAGTTTTGAAGAACAAGCCCTGGCTCATAACAAACCTAAAAGCAAAAGTATATTTTTTCAATGTTTAGCACAGTTATCTTAATGCAATGATTCTATTTTCTCTGCTTTTCTCAAACGTCACTGCACTTAGTATGTACATGATGTATTTTTCTGTCCTGCTCAGTCTTCGTTTTTGTTTGTTTTTTATTCTATTGGAACAAGGATCAATGTGAAGCAACCTCCAAAGTGTTCTGAATTCATACACAATCTGAACTGGGTGTATTATCATCATTCATGTGATTCATCTACTACACTGAATATGCTGATAGAACAGTGGTCCAACTCCAGCTGGGGATTTGTGATAGGTTAAATTTGCCTGAACGTGACAGACTTGGAACAGTCAAAAGGAAAATAAAATTGTTTATAAATTCGGTAACCCACAAATCACATTCAAGTAGAAGTTACTTTGGAGGTTTGATCCAAATCCCAAGGAATGTATTCTGCTACTGCCAAATCTGTAAGATTTCCTGCCATTTCATATTGGTTTACTGTGACTGCTAGTTGAGGACCACATTTAGAAAATGCAAGGAGCAGAATATCTGTTACAACCACTGCCCACAAATAATACAAATTTCCAGCTTCTCATGGATATATAATCTACCGATTCAAATAAAAATCCTGGAACACTGCTCTCCTAATACCATTTGCCCGAAAAACGTTTATCGAAAAGGTTTCATAACAGTATTTTACATGGAACACTTTTTTCTCTTAAAAAGTTGCAACTGCTTTCAGCAGTTCATCTGTTTCAACAGCTGGTATTCTATATACTGCTAATGCACAGATTTATCAATTCCCTAGTCTCTAATTGAGTCTGCACGGATGGACTGTGTAGCCCATAAGGATCCTCAAGAAAATTAACAGGACCCTCCTTGGAACAAAGAGCTTAGCTGCACATTTAGCTGCCAGGGCTCCTACAGCTTTTTCTTTTTGCAGTCTTCTGAATGACTAACTTTCCCTCCAACATAAAGGTCTAACTTCACACATATATTATTTAGGATCTTTCAATTTCCTATATGAATGATGTATCTTACGGAAATGCTGTGATCCACCACACATTTGGTTAATGTCATATAATGAAATCAGGAAATTCTGATTTAGGTACATTTCATGTACCTTTATTTCACATTCCTATTTCACAGAAAAACTGTCAGCTTTAACACATGCTTGTAACTAAAGAATTTACTTTCCTAAATAAGCTCGGACACAAATTGCCCTGTTATTACCAGACCTTTTCTTGTCATGGATTTCATGTCCTTTCTATGGTATAGACTGGGCAGCAGAAAAGGGACATAAAATGCAAGTATGAATGAAAACAGAGCTAAGATATCTAAGCATAGTTCTACAAGCTTATAACTATATTTTCAAACCAACCTGCTGCATTCCAGTAACTTTTGTTAGACTTTTGATAATTTCCATCAAAAAGCTCTTACTCTAAGCATTTGAAACACTTGAAATAGTCCATGTTTCAAGACATTGCCACTTTTTGCTTAAAAATCCTTCCAATAGCACCTTCCAGCTGGGTGCTTTCAGACAGGGGGTATAGGACTCCCTAAAGCATGATGCTTTCTGTGAACCCCATGAAACGCACCATGTATCATACGTCCTCTAAGGGTCTACTTCACCAGCATATATAGCACTGAACATAGAACTCAGCCTTATTTCTTTCACACGAGTGAAGATCATACCATGTTTAACAAAAATGGTCTGTGGAGTTGATCCAACATAGATTAAACTCAAGCAGCCAAAACGGTTACTCCATTTGCCATCCCATCCTTCTTGGGGAGGTCACTATCCTCATTGACAGATCAGTGAATTGCATGTGAAGTATTTCCTAAGCCACCACAGTTTACAAATCATCAAGTTAAAGCAAACTGAAGGCAGCATTGATTTAGGTCACTAAGTCAGACTAAGTGGTGGTTCAGGAAGAGCTTTTTCAGACATCTCCACATCAGTGGAAGAACGGTGAGGAAGGACGGGTGAGGGTATTAAAAAAAAGAAAAAAAAAAAAGGGGAGGGGCAATATCTGATATGGAGGCAAACTGCACAGGCAGTTGTAATGCTCCTTAATTTGTCTTACTAATATGAGCAAAAGAAGTCTCAGAGCTGAATATATCTGACAAACTGAAGTTCTGTTTATGCCAATCCAAGGATTCACTCACATGGTGACAGTATTTGTGCATTTCTTGCTCTCAGATATTTTTTCCCTTGTTTCATGTATTTCTGCTTAGCAGCAATATGTAAACTGAGTATTTGTGTGAGCACCTACTTGAATCAGTCTACTACCTGAGAAAATAAAAGCAAATTACAATACTGAAAGGAATCACCGAAAATGATTTCCTGGAAGTGAGTCAAGTTTTATTCTCATCAATATTCAGCACCAGTGCCATAGCAAGCAGAAGAAAAAAGAAAGCAAACACAAAACATAACAAGCAGAAAGCAGAGAGGAGGAAACATGTTATTTCTCAGCTTAGAGGAGAAAGTCAGGGCTTGAAACTTTGTTTATGAAAGTCTCCTTGCAGTGACCTGTATTTGCATGGGACAGACAAAAAGATTTTATTTCACTTTGCATTATTCTGTACCTGTGCAGGAAGTTAAGGGATACATTTCCATAAAGAATGGAACCAAAGATGTTCATACAAATATCTCAGTCTTTAACAGACACAGGTTTTTTTCCCTTCATCTTGCAATTTACCCAAGCAAAAAAGCTAGTGAATACAGCACACAGCTGCCATTAATATTATATGCCATTAATTCTCCAAAATCTGTACTTCCTAAAAGCTCTTCACTTCCTCAATTAAAGTTTATTTATTGGTAACAGGGGGACAGGGTGAGGAAAGAGAAGCCAAATGAGAGTTTTCAGGACACTGACAGATAATGTCTGATGGTTAGGTCAATTATTCCTTAATTATCAGCATAAACACTATCTCCACCAGTGTCATTATTTTAGATTATTACTTTAAATTCATCTACCTCTACCTCCACTTTTTCATTGCTCCAGCTAGGGAAGAAGAAGCAAAAGCATTTTAAGAGAATATCATGTTTATTTTTATCAGGTACCTTCTTTCCTATGACCTCTTGCAAAGAATTAATTGGCATCATTATTGCAGCTCTTTGCCTGTCTAATAAGGCAGTAACAATATCACATCTTTGACTACAAGAGGTTTATGATCAGGGTAAGTTTGAAAGTGCACAAGTCTAATTCAGTGTTAGTTAGATTTAGCCTTCTAAAGTCTTGTAGATACTTCTAACATTTTCCCCAAAGTATATTGCATCAGACAGACCAAACCAAAGGCAGGTATTCAGAATTTTTAAAAGTTAATAGACCTACAAAATAAGTTTTCGAAAGGACTCCCACTCCTTGAGATTCAACAGACCACACAAGAAATTAGGCATTTTTGTCGCCATGTTACCAATAAGTTATTGTAAAGTTTACGAATCCTTGTTTCATAGGTTTCGGGTGTTTTTAGCAAAATATATAAAACTCATGTAGTGGATCCTCAAATCAATTTAACAGTGAAACATACCTTTACAAAACATACCTTGATCTGTTTTAAAACATTTGCAACAAGGAAAAATTCTGTGCTTTCAATTATATGCATGTGAACTCCCTAGAGAACAAACAGAACAAGAAATCTGCAAATGTGTAAATAAAGGCAGAATTTGGTTTCTGTGATCCATCTGTACTACATAATTTTTTTCAGGAATTAATTCATCTTTGCAAATACTCACATGGAAGGTGCAATAAATGAGCTATATGTAAAGATTCATACCAAGATATTCAACACCAAGTCTTTCACATGACTCTAAGCAGGCTTTTTTTGTGTTTTCATAGCCATAATCACTATGCCACAGTTTGGTAGTTATCCAGAGTTCCTCCCGCTTCACACCACTCTCTTTGATGGCTTTTTGGAGGAGAGATTCACAGCCATATCTTTTTGCTGTGTCAATATGACGAATGCCACATTTTTGTAATGCATGGACCACAGCATCATGGGAATAGCCACCTTGATGGGAAGTACCTAGACAAACAAAATCAGAAGTGAATTGTCAGCAGTGAATTATGAGGGACATATTTTATCATTCTTTTTAATTTTTGTTTTCCTTTTTTTGTATATTGTCACAGAACCGTCTTATTCAATTTTCATTTCCTAATAGTAAAGAAATGGGAACTGATAGATCTCTAGGCTGGGAAAATACATAAAGTGCTAGAATGTTGATGCTGATCAGAAATAACTCCACCAAAATCAAATATCAACAGCATTTAACTGTAAAGAAGTGATTTCAGAAGACCATCAAAAAGAAAACACATACTTTATGGACAATTAGTATATGGCACTTAATTTTCATATAGGAGCACAACATTTACAGATGAAAATATTAAAAATAAGAAATAAAATATAACTTAAAAAACAATTTACTTTGCAGAAAGCATATCCTGAAACCTTTACTCTGTTGAACTCCTGGTAGCTTCAAGTTATTATTGCATTGTACAACCCCAGATTGGGCCATACCGCACATGCAATTCACCTAATGTCAAGCTCAGCAGTAACCAAAACAATGGAATCCTACACAAGAGATACAGAATGGGCATACAGGGAGTTTCAGTAACAAAGTACTGAACTCTCATTGTGTAGGTATTCACTGGATGTGTATTTTGCATGTCAAGAGGACGGAAGGAGGAGGAGACTCAGCAAAAAAAGCAACCAGCAGGAGGACTGCCAGATAAAGAACTGGTTGAGAGCAAGGAGGATGATGTTTCTACTTACCCTTTCCTGTTAGTTGTTTTTCCTGCCATGAGCCCCTCACCCATTCACCCTCACTCAGATACTTCCTACAAACAGTATTTTCTACAGTTTGTTGGACGAAATGCTCAGTCCATTCCAGTCAGCTACCAAAGCCACCTTTTAAGATGATGATTAGTACTTAAAAGGCCCTAGTGCTATAAACAATAGTCAGCATGCAAATGGCTGCGTCACTAACTTCAGAAGGGCCTGTGCAGTCGTGACAGTCGACAGCAACAGGATCTTCAGCCACTGCTGAATCTAAATAAATAAAGGACTCCAGGTCAAAGAATAATACAAAGTGAAATTTGTATCTGCTGTTAAATTTATATTTCCCTCCAAACATAGTATTTATTTCTACATCAAACACTACCTGCATGTTATGAAATTAACAAATGTATACAGCCACCCAGACTCAGAAAAAGGAAACAAATGAAAACACACACAGTTACCTTAGACTCATCCTTAGAGCCTCCCATACCTGAACTGAAGAGAGAATGCCCACAGGAGTCTGCGTGACTTTCTCACACACGTTGTAACAATGCGTGCAAGAACGAGAAGTTACAGAAGTTCTACTTGCATGTAAGGCAAGCCAGATTCTCCTAAATGCTTATCATTTTTGTTCATTCCCAATCTTAGAAGGAAAGCCAATGATACCTCTGTAATCTTGCTCAACACTTCAAGTAATTTGAAATAAGATACAATATGGTCTGATATCACACACGTACACCTGAGGATCATGACATTCTGCTGATCACAATGGGACAATCCCCACTTTATGTTCATGACCTACAAAATGTGGAGTATTGAATCCTTGATTTATCTTCATGGATTTTAAAGTGATGAAATTATAATACTATATGCCTACAACTTTGACATGTGTATCATAACTATTTTACCTTCCAAATGTAAACAAAGTTTTAATGTCTTAAAAGACAAAACTTTAAAACTTTTTTTCTCCAGAGCCACTGATTATGATTAATAACTGGCTTAATTTCTGAGTCATCTAGAAAAAATGTCCCTATAACTTTTTTTACATCGAAGTAAGTCAAGCTAGACAACTTACATTTTCAAAATAGCTATACATTGCAACTATGGGCAAAGAACATACATGCAATCATTACATTATTCAGATCCTAAAGGAATTTTATTAATTATATAACTAACATAGAAAAGTTACTATACTTTTTCATAACAATCCCTTCACTTTTAATAAGCTGGTATTGGTGCCAAATAAATGAGGTTGTAACTATTGTGTCTCTTTCTGGCTGAATGGACATTTCTAACCACAGAATGAATGGAGTTCATTTAGAGGTCTTGCAAATGGACTCAGACTGTTTTCATGCATAATGGATTTCAGTAAGAACATTTAGGACAAACAACTTTTTTTTTTTTTAATTTAACCCTTTTAAGTTAAAGGGAGAGAGTGGGAAAGAAGGACAATTCAGAATAATTTTATTATTGTTCCCCACTCAGTGATGGCACACACGCTTGTTTCACAGGAAATAACGAGACCAAGATCAGTCTGGAGGGAATTATCTCAATTTCTATGCTTAAAAATGAACTACAACAGTCCTGATGCACTAAATAATAATTTTTAAAAAAAGCTTAGTTATTTAATATTACCACTTTGCAAGCCAACTCAATCATGACCAACAGGTTTCTAATAACATAATAGCTTCTAGACTTTAGAAATCACGCTTTTCTTGCATTTACTAATGTGATTAAATATGTTATAATTCATAGATGCAGAAGGGTGACAAAAGAAGGTGGAGTGACTTAAATTTCTAGGTTTTTTAACATTTTAAATCCAGACTTAACATTATTTGAACACATTAACATTCTTACATGTTTGGGATTACCCTTTGTTCAGAGAGATGTAATTCACACTGTACATGTATATTTAAAGACAAAATCCTATCTCTCATTTAAGACTAACATGAACTAGGACCCGTTCCATCCTCTTACTGTTTCTAAAAATACTGAATTAATATATTTTTATTCTAGAATTCTCTGACAAAAAATAGGAATTATTTTTAATAAATGAAATCAAATATAAATAAGTCTGGAAAAACTCCCTACTTTTTAGCTAGTATTTTAAATTGTTCTCCTAGGGGAATAGCACTGTTCTCTCACTGACTGAATTAACCCAAATTTGACAGAGCTGAAGATGCCTGAGACAATTACATTCCTACAGATTTTGTGAAAATTGGTGGTTGGGAGGGTCATGGACACTGCAGTGGAAATACGGATAGGTTGAAGGAAACAAATCTATTGAAAACTAGGCTTAATTAGTTATGCTGTTCTTTTTGTCATGATTACTCATCACTTTCTTGATACCCTGAAGAACACAGCTATCAAAACTGGGATGAAAAACGTGCTCTGGCAATCCATAAAAAGTTTCAAAGATTATTAGGAAGGCAGAATCCTGTTCACAATGTGGTTGCCACAGGGGACAAAAACAAAACAAAACAAAACCAAAACCA